TGCCAATGCTGCGGGGACAGAGGGATCTAGGGGTTGAAAGACACCTGGGCAAGAGCATGAGGTCTGCTGGCTGTGGGTGGGAGACCCCAGGGCACAGGCGGCAGGCCTCTCTCTGCAAAGTATCCCTGCCCAAAGTAGTGGGTGGGGGACTGAGTCCGAAGGGCTGGGGGAGTGGGGAAGCTGCACGAACTAGCCAGTGCCGGTAAAGATAGAGGTGCAAAGCCAGGTGCAGTGGCACATGCCTGTAATCCCAGCTATTCAGAAGGCTTGAGGCAGGAGGATTACAAATTCAGGGCCAGACTCAGCAATTTAGGGAAACCCTTACCAACTTAGTGAGACCCTGACTCCAAATAAAAAATACTGGGGATAGGGGCTGGGGCTCAGTTGGTAGAGTGCTTGCCTTGCATGCACAAGGTCCTGGGTTCGATCCCCAGCACCATCAAAAAAAAAAAAAATGCTGGAGATCTAACTCAGTGGTAAAGTGTTCTGCTGGACTCAATCACGCGTGTGCACACACACACACACAGAGAAATGGGCAGGGATGGGAGTGACTGAAGGGTAGCCCCTTCACCTCCTTCCTAGACCCTGTGCAAAGCTTGGGACTGGGGAGGAGGAAGGTGCCTTTTAAGCCTCTGTGTATGTGCCATGAACCCTTGAAATGGCTCCAGGGCATTTCTGTCTCCTGAGCCTCCTGGGTTTGGGCCCTTGGCCTCACTCAGGACCCCACTCCTTCCCCGGCTCCTTTTGTGAGCTTCTTTGTCCAGACCTACTTCAGGGCTAGCAAAGCTCCACCTGGGGCTCCAACCACCTGCAAGCATCTGCCCTGGGTTTCAGTTTTGTCTTGGCTTTCTGAGGAAGGGCTGTTTGCTCAGGGTGGTCCCCAGGTCCCCCTGGGGCCTGGGTTATGCTGGGCCCCTCCCCTCCGCACTGCCTGTTCTCACACACTGTCTCTGCAGTCAGTGCCTGTCAGGGTCCCACTTCCTGTCAGGGTCCCACTTCCTGTCAGGGTGCAGAGCAAGAGGATGAGGTCTGATGGCTGTGGGTGGGAGACCCCAGGGCACAGTGACCCTGCAGCCCCCTGTCCCCCGTTACCTTCCCTAGGCCTGGGCACTGCTGCCACACCACCCCCAGCCTGGCCCTGGCGCCAGCTCCAGTGACTAGCCAGTTCCCTCCTTTCCACTCCACTGCGAATCAGCTGAAGGAGAACAGGAATGCTGAGTCAACAGTTGGGGTTCCACTTCCTTTGTCTGTAGGTCTGAACCCCTCCTGAGCGAGAGGAGGAGGGGCGTGGGGAGCAGATGGCTCTGCTGAGATGGGTAGGAGGCTGAAAGTGCAAGAAAGCTCTCAGGGTAGACTCAAGGAGTGGCCTCCTGGCTGATTCCTTGTGGAAGGGGGAGGAGGCAGAAAAGAGTGGCTGTTTTTTGAAACTGGGAATTGAATCCAGGGGAGCCTTACCACTGAGCTACATCTCCAGCCCTTTAAATATATATGTATGCATTTTTAGAGCGAGCCTCACTAAGTTGCTCAGGGCCTCGCTAAATTGCTGAGGCTGGCTTTGGACTTGCAATCCTCCTGCCTCAGCCTCCAAAACCCCTAGGATTACAAGCATTCACCATCACACCCAGCCCTTTTTTATAATTTTGAGACAAAGCTTTGCTGAGGCTGACCTCATACTTGGGATCCTCCTGTCTCAACCTCTGGGATTACAGGTGTGTGTCAGTGGTCCTGAGGATTGAACCCAGGGCCTCTCACACTTGTTAGGCAAGGCGGGGTCAGAAAACAAAGACTTCCCCAGACTTCAGGATATAATGAATGGGCAGGTGTGGGTGGGATAGGGAAACCCAGCGGCTCTCTTGATATTTCTGCGAGGCGAGCATGGTGGGACCTCGGATGGCCTCCTTTTCCCTTCCAGGGTGAGGGGTGGCAGGAGAATGCAGACAATGAGGAAGTCATCAGAAGCCTGTTGGGGTGCTGTGCTAACCAGCTGTGCAGCCTTAGGCCCTTGTTCGGTGCTACTGTCACCACTTCTTGTGAAACAGAGACCATGCAAGTGAAAGGATCTGAAGCGGGCCCGCTAGGCACAGAGGAACTTCAGGGAGCCTTCAAGATGGAGTTTGGGTGCACCCAGAGAGGAAGTGGAGCTCTAGAGATGGGAGGTGACAAGAGCTGGAGGCAGTTGGGCCTAGTGCCCAGATTCTGTCATCCCAGACCAGCGTTCTGATAGCATAAGGTGCCTTGCAGGCAGCAGGACAAGGTCCCAGTCCTAAAGGGCTCCAGCCGCAGCCAGGTCTGCAGACCACGGTGAACAACTCTCCCCACTGCTGACTCTAACCCTGCCTTTCCTACCAAGCTGAGTGAGGCCTGGGTTGCAGTGAGACCTCAGGATGAAGGTGAGGAACTTGCACAGGAAAAGGGAACCAGGATGATTATGCTGAGCAGGTTCCTGTGTCCCCAGTCAGACACCACTAATGCTAGGAGGGGAGGGCATCTCTAAGCTGACTCAATCTTCCCAGAGCCATTACGTCCCTCCTGCGTCGAAGGACCTATGTGACTCAGCCCACTCCTCAATCGGCAGGAGAGCCTCTCACCCCCAGAGCATGTGGAAGTCCTTGCTGTGAGCCAAGTTCATTGTTCCCACTGCCTAGTCCAGTTTTTGGCCCCTTCAGCACCATGGTTGACGGTGATGGCCCTCATTATCTTCTTCCCGCTCCCTTCTCCCCAGGTGCCCCTTTCATTCCATCTTTTCCTTTAGTTAATGCAGAATGTTTCCGAAAGGCCGCCTGGACCTCTGCGGGTCGCTGGCAGACAGGGGAACTGAGAAACGGAACTTGTAAACTCAGCTGTCCCCATTCCGCAGCACTTCACATTCTGCCCAACATGCAGCTGGGGTGAAGACCTGGCTGGGCCCCTGCCCAGGAGCCAGCAACACTGAAACACCTTCCACAGGACAACTTTGCTGTCCCCACCATGTGCAAGGCTGATCCTTAGACCTCAGCTTCCCAGCTCTGCTTCCTGGTCAACTGCTTGCTCGGCTCTGCCCTGGTCCCCCCAACAGCTTCCAGGACCACATGGACCCACTCCTGACCAAGATCCTCAGTCCTTCCTCCTCCAGCCCTGTGGCTGATGCTGCCAAGACAGTTTATCCAAGATCAGTCCTATTGCTCCTACCTCTCCCTCACCCGTCTCCTCTTTCCCACTAACAGAACCTCCAGAAGGCCTGCGATGGAGTCTGTTCAGCTTCTACACTGCTAGCATTTCTTTGTGACCAGAAAATTACAACCACTAAGTAAAATGCCATCTTTGGTAGGACAAAAAAGTGGCTTTGAAAATATATACATAAGAATTCTTGAGAAATGAAGGTGAAGAGGAACGTAGCTCAGCAGCAGAGCGCTGGCCTAGCATATGGGAGACCACGATTTCAATCCCTAGGACCACCAAAAACACAGAGTGGAAGGCAAGAAGCCCCTTAAGAGGGAACTGGTCTGATTCTGCCCATCCCCAAAAGACACTGGGACTTTCTCTTCCCGTGTGCCTCCATCCCAGCCCAAAGAACATTTCCTGCCACATCTTGGAGCAGCCCCGAAAATAAGTTAAATTTTTGGGGGGCTGGGGTGTGGCTCAGCAGTAAAGCACTTGCCTCCCATATGTAAGGCACTGGGTTCGACCCTCAACACCACATAAAAGTAAATCAACGAAGATGCTGCTTCCATGTACAACTAAAAATACTAAATAAAATAAAAGAGTTAGACTTCTGAATCCCAGGAGCCTGGCAACTCAAGACAGGAAAGGCTCTACTACAGCATGCTGGGCCCAGGAGAGCAAGCATGACCCAGGAGGACCTCAGCCTCCTGTGCTCTGCTGCACCGCCTCACCCACCTCTGACACCTAGCAGGGGCGGATCTCACCCTGGCCCCAGCTCCTCTGTGGACAGTGGGCATGTGTTGAGGGCTGATGCTCCTAGCTGAAGGCTGGCTGGATTCAAAGATTTGGACAAGCACAGCCTGAGTGTCCCTGTGGGACGCAGGAGCCCTGTCTGGCTCCTACCCGAAGTAGGTCAGATTTCAGATAAGCGGGTGGTTTTCCTGTAAGTGACGGAACCCTCCAGTGTGCTTAATGAGAAACAGGCTCCTCAACTTACCCCAGCGCACACACCAGAAGCACGAGATGCCACCCTCTGCCTCCCCCTCCTATCCCCAAGTACCCACCATGTGCCTCTTCAAACTGCCCCCTGGCCTTAGCCTTGCAGAATGCTAACTCTCCCTGTGTTTCCCTGAAACAGGACGTGACTGACCTTCTTCAGCTCTCCTTTCCTGCCAGAAACCTGGAAGCTAAGTTCTCCTGGAGTCCAGCACCTGACAGTGTGTTTCAGTGGAAGTTCACAGTACGAGTGGCACACTGTTTTTATGACCATCCCCACCTGAAACCTGCTCTGAGATAAAGAAATCATGCCATCTGTCCTGTCCCTTCATCGCAGAGCCCCACAGCTAACTGAAACCTGTAGGCCCTGCCACCTCCACTCCCCAACAGAGGCTGGGAATTGGGGAGTCTCTGAGGTGTGTCCAGCCCTCATGCTTTACCCTAAGCTTTCAGAAGAGCTCAGGTCAATGACATCAGTGTAAATTGGATTCACCGTTAGGAAGAGGAATTGCACCACTGCCTGTTGGATGTCATCTTATATCTAATCATTAGCACTTTCATGCCACAGAAGGAACCTCAGGATATCCCCCAGCTCCAGAGGCACTTGAGATCAGCATCGTTTTCTCTATTTGGGATCACAGGCCCCTTTGAAAAATCATCTTGACCCGGATAAAACCTTGCAATTCTAGGGTCTTTGAAGGTCATGAACCCAGTTGTGGCCATTGGGAAAAAGCAAAGCACTTTCTAAGGCAGCTCAAGGCCCTCTGCAGGGACGCTGCACACAGACACCACACTGAGGTCCAGGCGCAGGAGGGCAGCGTCTGTCAGACTGAATGTTTTATTTCAACAGACATCCCTGGCTTAAAAAAAAAAAAAAAAAAGGTAGGGGAGAGTTCAACATTTCATCACACCTGACAGGGAGCAAGACTCCCACCCGAGAACTCGGAGCCCCTCCAGCGGCATCACTCAGTCTGCTAGCTCCAACACGGACAGGAGCTCAATTTTCTAACTTGTTAAGAAAAATCTATCAAATATGTTCATTCTCGCAGAGGCGAGGGCTGGGTCCTCAGGGAAAGACATCCTGGGCTTAGAGCAGCTGGGGTCCCAGAGGTGAAGCTGGGGGCTGGGCCAACCAGGCTGGCAGGAGATCCTGGGAGCATCAGTTCCAAAGCCCTAGAATCCGTATTTGGCTTGGGTCTGCCGGCGGCTGAGCTTGTTCTCTGACCAGGTGTTCTTCAGTTCCAGCTCCCGCTCCTTAGCCTGTGGCAAGGAAGAAGGGGTGAGGGCTGTCACAATAGCATCTGTATAGACGTACGGTGCTAGGAACGGGACCCAGGGCCTTATACATGCTCAGCAAGCACACTGCCAGCCCTTAAACCAGAATCGTGAAAGACATTTTCCTCTCGTCTCTGTGAGCTTCCCAACTGAAAATCTTTCTCCCAGCAAGATTTTCACTGTGCCACACACCTGTAATTCCAGCCACTATGGAGGAAGAGCAAGGAGGATGTCAAGTTCGAGGTCAGCCTGGACAACTAAGTAGGACCTTATCTTAAAATTTAAAAAAATAAAATAAAAAATAAAAGGGCTAGGGATGTAGCTCAGTGGTAGTGTCCCAAGTTCAATCCCCAGTACCCCTGTGTGCACGTACACACATGGACTTTCTCCCATAGTAACAATTACGGGAAAAGAACAAATCCCTTGGGCTGGGGCTGGGGCTCAGCGGTAGAGCACTCGCCTGGCATGTGTGAGGCCCTGGGTTCGATCCTCAGCACCACATATAAATAAATAAATAAATAAATAAAGTGAAAAATCCACTGGCAACTAAAAAAAAGAAAGAACAAATCCCTTGAAAGACTTCATTTTCTCTTATCCACAAAGGAGAAGACCACAAAAAAAGCAAAGGAAAATCATCTCTTTGGAGAGCTAACAAGGCTCAAGCAGAACAAGGACTCAAGAATCCTTGTGCTTTCTCTGGTAGAATTAAAACTGAGGTGTTGAAGTGGGAAATGGAAAAAGGAGAACTAAAAGCTGGCATCTAAATCAGATGCCTCAGTTACCCAACCAGCAGACCAGAAAAGGACAGTCTCAGAGACTTGGAGAGGTCACCAGAGGATGCCAAATAACCAGAACTTAAGTCTAAAAAAGAGGTTTGCTGTTGTGTTGAATATAACACATGTTGCACTCCGAAAATTCGTACCTCCCCCTGCCCCACCCCAGTACTGAGGATTAAACCCAGGGGTGCTCTGAGCTACATTCCTCAGTCCTTTTTGGTTTTTGAGAGAGGGTCTCACTAAGTTGTCCAGGCTGGCCTGGAACTTGCAATCCTCCTGCCTTGGCCTCCCCAGTCGCTGGGTTTACAGGTGCCCAACCACATCATTTTAAAGTAATCTTTTAGAGCTGTGAAAAATTCTACCAGTACTAGAAAAATGACTTCTCTCTTCTGATCTCAATATCTCCTGGCTCTTCTGGGAATGTACAAGCACCATCCTGATAAGGGGGCTCCCCAATCCCCAATGTTATCTGATGCCTGCTCATTTCTCCTAGACGTGCTGGGGAAGACAGTAAGAGTCTGGGTTTAGAAAAGACTCCACCCTCAAATTCGTCCCCTAAAAATTACAATATGGGGAAAGAGCACAAAGGAGTTCCTGAAAAGGAAGATAAAACTATGACAAGGACCATGAAAGCAAGATTTGCCATTGAAACCACCAACCAGAATGCACACCCCTTAGAACATAGCCAGGAAGCGCCTCATGTTCTTGTCTGTACCTCTGACAGCTTTCAGTACTGTGGGGTCTCAAAAGGATGTTTAAGGATTTGAAAATAGTACCAAGACATATTCCCAAACACATTTTTTGGATTATCTAGAATTCTAAAAATTTGTGTTGGCAAATACAAATGGACCTTTTCAGGTAAAGGTCAAATTTGTAAATCAATTTTTTCTTAGGTTTTAAAAAATTATTAGATAAATTTACTATCTAAAAGGACCTTATGATAAACTATTTCACTCTCCCGCCCCCCCCCTTTTTTTTTTTGGTGCTGGGGATCGAACCCAGAGCCTTGTGCATGCAAAGCAAGCACTGTACCAACTGAGATATAGCCCCAGCCCTTCACCCTCCTCTTAAACTGTGTTTTGGATATCTGAATTTTCTCTTCTGGAGTCTATTCTTTTTTTTTTTTTTTTTGTATCGGGGACTGAACTCAGAGGCACTTGACCACTGAGCCACATCCCCAGCCCTATTTTGTATTTTATTTAGAGACAGGGTCTCCCTGAGTTGTTTAGTGTCTCACATTGCCTCTGCTGAGGCTGGCTTTGAACTCACAATTCTCCTGGCTCAGCCTCCCGAGCTGCTAGGCTTAGAAGCAGACTCCACCAGACAGGCTCTTCTGGAGTCTGTTCTAAGTCTGTTCTGAGTCTGTAACTCAGTCTTCTGTGCAATAAGAGGTAGAACAGGATGATACTGAAGGACACATCTCCCCCTGGTGGCCACACAGAGAAAAGGGGAGGATGCTGCTGGAAGCTGGTCCTGTAAGTGGGCTTCTTACTCTTAACCCAGATCTCAATTCCCAGGTCTAGGGGATCCTGCCTGGCTCAGGCCTCCTGCCTTCTCACCTGATGAATCAGATACGTGATCTGGTGTTTCCGCCGCTGCTGGCCTGTTGGCTGCTCGCCTTTCTTCTGCAAGGAAAGAAAATACAGACCTTAACAGAAGTTTCTCATGTGCCTATACTGTGCAGGCTGGGGACTGAAAAACAAATTACACAGCCCAAATCCTGTGGGAGAGAAGTCAGTGTAGAGCTGTTTTTATGTCTATATACTTACAAAACAGTTATTTTTACTAAAGCCATTATGCAAAAAGCCCAAGCTCAGAATCACTGCTGAAACAGGCTGCTAATATCCCCATTAGGCTGGAAATACTTTGAGGTCAGGACCATCTTGTTTCTTTGGTAACCCCCACCTCCTCCGCCCTAAGCTCAGGGCACCCGAGACCAGCTTTATGCCAGCAGCTTGTCTGATAGCTAAGTGCCAGGGCACAGGTGGCGATCTTCTGCCCTTCCTCCAAGAACTCCTCACAATCCCTATGCCCATCTCCCCCTTAAAATCTCTTCGTCTCTGTTCCCTTCTCCCCAGTCAGGCCAGATGTCTAGTCTGTCTCCTACCTACTGCTTACCAAACTCTCCCATCAATCATCTCTGGCTGAAACCCCACTTCACCCATTCTAGAAGGTACCAACAAGCTTCCTTGGAAATAGAAATTTCACAATAACTCCACTTCTCTCCAGTCCTCCAATCTCTGCCTATCACTGCACTGAACGCCTAGCCAAACTTTGATGTAAACGATTTACTGTCAAAGTCTATGCTGGCCTGGGCTTTCATTCTGTGGTTTTTCTATTCTCTGCCAGAGCTGTCTCAGGCTAGAAGCTTCCTAGCGAGCCCCACCCAACTCTCAAAACTCCTCTCCAGAGTCTCCTCAGCACTTATGTAATCAATTTGCGCTGTAATCATTTATACTCAAGTGTCCTTAAATCTCTTCTTCCCAACTACACTATCAACTCCTCAAGGACGGGGACCATATCTTCATTTTAAAAAGCTAGTTCACTACAATGAGATGATGGGGAGAAAACCAGGAGCTGGGAAAAAAGCATATTCTAACTCCATGCTATTACTGCATGTCATTTAATGTGACAGTTAAAGATGACATACATAAAACATCACTGCCATTCCTGGCCCACGGTGAGTGCTAACAACAACAGCCATTACTATGTGATGATGCTTCTTGGCCCGCAGTTAGTAGAGCATGCTCTCCTAAGTGGTTTTTCCAGTAAACAGTGATGGATCTATGCTGATCTAACCACAATCCTTTGCTCTGTCCTGTATGACCGCCAGCATTCAGTTAAAACAAACGGCTGGGGCTTGGATGGCCATCTGTGGCCATAGAACAAAGCAAAGCAAATGGGCGAGCAGGGGTAAAATCTTTGACTTTGGCCTTGCTGGTGCTGGGCTCAAATCCAGGGCTTCCCCACATATTCCCCCCTGTGGCAAGCTCGTAAATGTCCACAGTAGCTCTACTCAGCTCTGGGTAAAGAGATGTTCATCACACTGCAGAAAACTAGCACAGCCAGCCGGGCATGGGCTGGGAAACGTGAGGAACAAAAGCATCTGGAAAGACCACAGCTGGCTACAATAAATAATGGAGAGAAGGAGCGAGGACGAGCTGCATTCTCAGGACCTAGGGACCCCAGCACTCTCAGGCTCTGTTGAGCCCACTCCTTAAAGATGTGCTGAGACAGGACCCAGCTTACCAGGAGGGGGACAGCAATGAGACTACAGGAGAGCACAGAGTGGCTGCAGGCTCTGTCCAGCCCAGGAAGGAGCCACAATACATCAGAGATCTTCCCACAGCAGTGCTCCAACCAACCACTCTTAACAACCAGACTCCACCATCCAGACAGAGCGCAGTTAAAATGCTGGAAAGTTCTAGAATCCAGAGGTATAGCTGTGAGGCTTGGTTCATACTCCAGGACCATGTGCAACAAGTGTTTGTTAATGATGTGGCTATAATGGTGCATATGGGGCTGGGCAGCGAGTAGGACAAGATTTTGCTTTGAAGCTTCCCAAACTGGTCACCCAGTAGGCCTTTCCCACTTACTTTGCTGAATGACTTCATGGTTTTCTCTTCTGTCAATGACTTGGTCATCCACTGCTGGGCCCCACTGAGCTGGTCATCACCTTTGATCTCTACAAAGTTGATTTCCTCCCTCCCTCGGTTCCTCTTGCCCTGCAGCCGTTTAAACTGGGAAAGAAGAAGAAAATGCAGGAGTTAAGAACCCAGGTGAGGAGATCAAGAGATGTCACTAAAGATCTAGAGTTTTTGGAGTGACTTTGTTATTTGCAGTACTGGGATTGAACCCAGGGGTGGTCTACCACTAAGCTATATCCCCACCACTAATTTTTTTGGCAGGAGTGCGTACTGGGGATTGAACTCAGGAGCACTCGACCACTGAGCCACATCCCCAGCCATATTTTGTATTTTATTTGGAGACAGGGTCTCACTGAGTTGCTTAGCGCCTCACTTTTGCTGAGGCTGGCTTTGCACTCACGATCCTCCGGTCTCAGCCTCCCAAGCCCCTGGGATTACAGGCACCTATTTATTTTTTATTTTGAGACAGAGTCTTGATAAGTTGCCTAGACTGGTTTAGCACTTTGAATCCTCCTGCCTCAGCCTCCTGAGTCACTGGGGTTACAGGAGTGTACCACATACCCAGCTATGACTTTGTGACTCACCAATCCTACCATACTCTCAATTCCCCTTGGCAACATGTCCTTTCACCTGCCATCTACCAAGCTCTCTTGACAGAAGATGAAAGGCCTGCTTCTCACAGGGTCTCTTGGACCCCAAGAAAGGGAAGACAAAAGGTGTCCCCAAATATGAACAAGTACAGAGACCCAGCAGAATAAATCTGTACTCAAATGATGTATAAACTGTATCTGCCTAAGAGGACTGGGTACAATTTGCACAATAAGAATTTAAGGTAAGGGGCTGGGGATGTGGTTCAGTAGTAGAGAGCTTGCGTAGCATTCTTGAGGCCCTGGGTTCAATCCCCAGAACCATAAACACACCCAAAATAAATAAGTCAAATGAAAAAAATTAAAGAATTTAGGGTAAGCTGGGTATGGTGCTGCACACCTAAACACCCAACTATCTGGGAGGCTAAGGCAGGAGAACTGCTTGAGCCCAGATCTCCAAGACCATCTGAACAACATAAAGAGACCATGTCAAACACAAATAAGTAGAGGCTGAGGTTGTGGCTCAGTGGCAGAGCACCTGCCTAGTATGTATGAGGCACTGGGTGCGATTCTCAGTACCATATATAAATAAATGAATAAAATAAAAGTCCATCAACGTCTTTAAAAAAAAAAAAAAAGAATTCAGGTTGTTAAAAAAAAAAAAAAAATCGGGCTAGGGAGGTGGCTCAGGCGGTAGTGCACTCGCCTGGCATGCGTGAGGCCCGGGTTCAATCCTCAGCACCACATACAAACAAAGATGTTGTGTCCGCCAATAAACTACAAAATAAATATTAAAAAAAAAAAAATCCAAGATTTCTCCTCTAAAACTCAGTTCTCTTTCCACCTCTGGTACTACTCACTAGTTCAGTATCACCAATCAGCAGTGGACATGGGAGGGAGAATGTGGAGCTGGGTGGGGGAACCTCACAAAAAGGGCCCAGCAAATTCTCCAGGAGACTTTCCTCCTCCTCCTCTTACTCCTCCAGAAAAATGGCAAGTCACCCGAGTCAGAGATGTGCCTGGAGGGGAGCGTGGAGCAAGGGGAATTAAAGCACCCCAAAACTTCAGTAAGACCCAGGTCCTGATCTGAACATTAGTGATGCCTCCAAGCTTGCTCTACCTACTAAAAACTGAATGTGACCACTGAACGGGTACCCAACTGCCTCTAGGCTGAGGAGCAATAGAACCTAATGACTCACTCTGCACTTGCCAAGAGGCTGTGGAAGAACACAACACCAACAACAGGCAGAAGTATGCAAAGCGCCGGACTCCTTTCTAGAGGAAGGTAAGTAGAGGCTATGTGTGTGAAACCAGGGATGAACCCAGGGGCACCCCATCACTGAGCCACATCCCCAGCCCCACTTTTTTTTTTTTTCATTTTGAGACAGGGTCTCACTAAGTTGCCCAGGCCGACCTCAAACTTGTGATCCACCTACCTCAGCCGCCCAAGTGGCTGGGAGGCTACCATGCCCATCTAAGAACCTCCACCCAGAGGTTAGCGATTCTCGCGTCTAGATCCCTTCTACTAAGCTGTGACTTCCCTACCGAAAGGACAGGGCTTTGAATCTTGAATGTGGTTCTGACAGCTGCAGGACACAAAAAAAAGTCATGTGTGCTTTGTTAACTTACTGCTTCGTCATCGATGAAGGAGGCATCTGGGGCAATTTCCTGGGAGGGGACCAGAGCTGGGTCCTGTGCAGGATAGTAGCCACCACTGTAATAGTCCTGTGGCCGGAGGGGAAAAGAACACATCAAGTGAAGACATGGAGACAGACAAGGTTGGCCCAGAAACAGGCGCTGACAAGGTGGCCCCTCCAGCCCCTCAGATGAAGCAGCTAAAGACGCAGATCCAAGGACCCACCCGCTAACCCACCAACATTCCTGCACTTTCTGATCTGAACTATCCAGACAGATGGGAGGTTTTTAGGGAAGGTCAGCAAGAAATAAAGACATTCTCTCCTCCTTCAATCTGTGCCTTGCTCCCTCATTGCTACCTGAGGCAACTCCCACCCTTCTCTCGCCCAGCTCCCCCCACTCGTGAGACCCACTGGGCCATGGAGTGACGCCAGCAAGACGAGGTAGGCGCCATGCCCCCTGCTCCTCACCCCACTTAGGCCCTCTGGACACAAGGAGACCGTCCACAGGGAGGGGGAGGCTGTGGATCTCTGATATTAAATAAATCACTATTGAAATATTGTTGAACTTACAAAGCTAGGACAAACTAGGTTTGTGTTACCATATTTTTGCTGCAGGAATCTAATGATCCCCCTCAGACTTGGGGTGCTCAGTCGTTGCTGTGGACCCCAGAGGAAGATGGGTGGTAGAAACACCCCTCCCAGCCCCACTTTGGCCAAGTTAGGCCACAAGAACCCAGAAACTGGGTTCCTCTTTCCTCCTTGCCTACACTATTTTCCCTAATTCTTTCACTTTTACCCAAAGCTCCAATAAATTTCTATCCATCTAGGAACATTCATTTTCTAATGAGTTAAATGGAAAACTGTTTAATTTTCACTACACGAGAATATATAAAAATTCCAGCACAATTAAGAATTATGGATTTTCTATAGTAGCATTCACAAAAAGATACATTTCAATTTCAGGGTCCCTTAGAATACTCAAAAGTGCTTTACCAGGCATGGTGGTACACAGTGTAACCTCAGGGACTCGGGAGGCTTAGGCAGAAAGACCACAAGTTCAAGGACAGTTTCAGCAACATATCAAGATCCTGTCTCAAAATAAAAACTTTAAAAGGGCTGGGAATATAACGCTTGCCTAACATACATGAGGGCCCTGAGTTCAATCCCTAGTACTGCCAAAAAAAAAAAAAAAAAAAAGCCCAAACCCTCCTATTATCTTTCTCCTTTCTCCTAATAATAGCCCTGAGGGGAGACACAGTCTCTGATCTGTCTACAAGATACAATAAAGTTTAGGAGCAAAGATTTAGGGAACACAACTGTTTTCAAAGTCTTTGGTCAGAGCAGGGTCCCCCTGAAGCCCTCTTTCCCTACCCACACCCAGACTGAAAATAAGATTAACAGTGACCAATTCAGAGAATCACGGTGGACGAGGGGGACTTAAATCCCCTTCAAACCATCCCAGGTGGGCAGTAAAATTTCCTGCAACTGCCAGTCAGGGGCTAGCTACCCTCCTGCTCAACCATCACCTGAGCCCAACTCTAGGGGCCCCCCCCACAGCCCCCCTTCTGGGGAAGTTCTGACTGCTGGGAGTCTTCCTTCCCTATTTCTCTTTCTGGTACTGGAGACTGAACCCAGGGGTGTTCTACCACTAAGATTCAGCCCCAGCTCCTTTTACTTTTTTGAGATAGTCTCAGTTGCCCAGGCTGGCCTTACATTTGTGAACCTCTTGCCTCAGCTTCCTGAGTCACTGGAATTACAGGCTGTGCCACCATACCTGGCCTTCCCTGTTGTCTCAAGATTTGCTACACCCCCGGAGACCCTTCCTGACTGCCATCTGGAAGTGTACACTAATCCTAACCCTCATCCTCCAAATTTGAGGAGCCCATTTTCTAAGATGAGAAGCTGCTTCTCTCCCACCTTCTCCTACAATAAGATTTGGGTTTCAGAATGCTATAGTTTGGGGTCAGGTGCAGTGGCACACACCAGTAATCCCAGGTTCTCAAGAGACTGACACAAGGGGCTGGGGATGTGGGTCAAGCGGTAGCGCGCTCGCCTGGCATGCGTACAGCCCAGGTTCGATCCTCAGCACCACATACAAAGATGTTGTGTCCGCCGAAAACTAATAAATAAATATTTTAAAAAAAAAAAAAAAAGAGACTGACACAAGAGGATCTCAAGTTCAAGGCCAGTCTGGTCAACTTAGTGAAACCCTGCCTCAAAAAAAAATAAATAAATAAAATGAAAAATGCAGAGGATGGGTAAAAGCATCCCTAGGTGCAATCTAAAGTACCAGGGAAAAAAAAAAGAATGGAAATCATTTGAATAAGTTTCCCCTTAAGATCCTTGTGTTTTTTTGTTTGTTTGTTTTTAAAAAGCCTGGTGGCCAGCTCCATGGCCCTACTGAGAAGTTGTGGGGCCTTTAAGAGGTGGGGCTTAGTGAGAGGAAGTTAGGTCACTGGGGGTGGGCCCCTGGAAGGATATGATATGAGCAGCTTCCTCTGCCACACACTCCCACCATGATGTGCTGTCCTGTCACAAGTTCAAAAGCAACAGGCTTAAACAACCAAGGACTAAAACTGTGAGCCAAAAATAAATCTTCCTTTTTTTTTTTTAAGTTGATTACCTCAAGTATTTTGGCACAGTAATGGAAAGCTAACACAGAATAAGGGTGTTGATTATGTTGTCAACTCTGTCAGACTTAGATTCGTAAGGTTCAGGATAAAGGAGTGTTTTTTACGGTCACACCACTGGCTCAAACCTTCTGTGGCCTGATGTGTGTGGCCCTCACCTGATAATAAGCACCAGCAGCATTGGCATCGCCATATGTGGAAAACTGATTGTAGCTGTAGTCGTCCCCAGGCTTAGGCATCCAAGGGGCCCCACTTGAGCCTGCTGCCATCTTGAACTCAAGGGGGGCATTGGCTGCATCGTCCTGGAAAGCCGGCTCTGGTTCCGTGCCTGGAGGCAGCTCTTCGGGGATCGTGGGGACAGGGTAAGGGTATGGCTCAACTCCAGGTGGCTCGGCCTTGTCAGGGAGGGAGAAAAAGTTCTCGGGGGCCACTTCCTCGTCACTGTCATCTTCCTCTTGCGTGATCTGCTTTGTCACCTGTAGGGCAGCACTCTTGGCAGCAGCCTTGATGGCAGAGGGTGACGGAGTGGTGGTTGTGGTGCCCACGACAGGAGCAAGAGAGGAAGGCTTGGCCTTTGCAGCCAGTCTGGAGGGCTTGGTGTCAGAGGAGCCGTCCGAGGGTTTCCGGGAGAAGGCGTGGGGCAGGAGCAACCTGTTGGTCTCTTTCACAGTCAGGTTTTTAGGCTGGGGAAGCAAGGCAGACAGACCAGTCCCCTCGCTGGATCCCTGGGGAGATGCGGTTGGGGGCCAGAGGAAAGAAAGGTGAAGAGTGAGATTTTAAGTCATGTACTGGTGACACTGAAAACAAAAAGCACAGTTATGTGCTCTGGCCCAACATCCTCCTCAGCCCTTGCTCCTCCTCACCTCCACCCACTCAGGCCAATCTGGGCTCATCAACTCCTGCATCGCACCCTTCTGCAGCTGCTTCTCCTGACATGAAGTGCCATCCCTCTTCTGCTCATCTCCATCACAGCCCGGCTCCACGGCCCTCTGCCAGAGTTCCCCTCCATTCTCGTGTCTTTGGCAAACGTGCTGCTCTTAATCTCACATCATCCTTAGCCTCCCTCCAGCTAATCACTTGACCTCTCCTTCCTTTGAATTGCTACCCAAAGCCAAGAATAAGGCTCTGTCTAAAAAAGGGACATTCATACCTGTTGCCAAAAATCCCCTCCGTCCACCCTATCCCACCCCTGCCCAAGGATAGGCTTATACTTACGGTGTATTAGCTTGTTAATGCCAGAATCAAGCATTTAACCTAACAATTTGTAAGCTAACTGGCTCAGCCATCCAGAGTTTCTACTACTCCTAAGAACCTCTCAGATCCTACAGTGGTGCATGCCTGTGATCCCAGCAACTCAGGAGGCTAAGGCAGGAGGATGGCAAGTTCAAGGTCAGCCTCAGCAACCTAGTGAACCCCCAAGCAACTTAGTATGACCCTGTCCCAAAATACAAAATAAAAAGGACTATGGTTCAACTCCAATACAAAAAAAAAAAAAAAGGAATCTTTCAGATCCCACTTCCTGTATGACAAAAAGCCAGCTTGGCCTAGCTACGGGGCTGAGGGAGGGACCAACTGGAGACAGGAAAGTGGTGTGAGGTCACCATGTCAGTGTCCTAGAGTACCAGTGCAGTCCACAGGAGACCCGCTCATATGGACAGAGGCTCTTTTCCACTGAGCTTATAGATTTGAATCAACTCAGTGTGGCAGCCCCCAGAGGCTCAGGTTCACAGAAACCATGCTGCAGTGTCCTCCTCAGGCCACCTTAGGAATGTGTGGCTCCAGCACCATCTGGGATCATGGCTACATCCCTCTGCAGGGCTGGGTCCTCACTCCAACGTGAGCTCAGAGTTCCTCTGTTAACGCATCTCTTCATGCCACCTGGAATTCTGCCCTTTATCATGGGGTTCTTCAGAGCCAGTCCATCTCCTCCAGGAACACCCTGATAACAGGAGTCTCAGCTTGCTGGCCTCTTCCCTGCCTCCTCTTCTTTTTCTTTTGGTACCAGGGATTGAACTCAGGGGCACTCGACCACTGAGCCACATCCCCAGCTCTGTTTGTATTTTATCTAGAGACAGGGCCTCACTGAGTTGCATAGGCCCTCACTGTTGCTGAGACTGGCTTTGAACTTGCAATCCTCCTGCCTCAGCCTCCCTAGCTGCTGGGATTACAGGCATGCACCACCGGGCCTGGCCCATGCTTCTTCTTTAGCATCTACTATAAAAACAGATGCCACAGCAGCCTCGCTTCAACCTGTGACCTATGCCCTCCTGGAGGGGAAAGAAACACCTTAACAGCCAGGGGAAGAGGCAGCGGACAGCGTCATAGATTTGAATCCCTAGTCAACTACCTTTTAAAGACAGGATATTTTTCCCTGAGACACAGTGTCTGCATGAGACAGGAGTGTTAAAATCACCAAGCGTGGAAAGAACAGGAAGAAACTCCGAGGCAGGCAGAGTAAACACTGGGACAGGAGAAACAAGCAAACAGCAGAGAGCTTGTTGTCCTGGCCTTGATGACAGAGAAGCAGCCAAGTGCAGCAATCACATGGGCTCCCTAGTGTCAGACTGCCTGACTCACCTGTGATCTCAGTTCTGCCTCCACTAGCTGCTGACCCGAGGCAGGTTCCTCGGTTCCCTAAGTCAAACAGGGATGATATCAACACTATGGTGTAGGCACTACTAGAAGGATGGTATCCATAGGTGCTGGTAAAACACTTAGAACAGAGCTTGGTATAAGGTAAGTACTGTTTAAGTGTTTATTTCCAGGTTAAAAATAGGACAGGGAGAAGACGGACAATTTTAAAATATAGATGCTCCCTAACATCATTTTGACTGATCCATTTATTCCACTGTCCCTAAAAAATCCTTTTATCTGAAATGTAATGAAGTGAATTGAGTTAAGATCCGCCCCCTACCACTGCCTGCATCTAGGAGTTTAACTCCTTCAAGCTACACCAGGAAGCAGCGAGGGAGGGAGGGGTGGGCATGTACCAGGCCTGAAGCTATAAAGGAAACCAAAGCCAGACCTAAACAGTTCTCAAATATTTGTGCTTGAGCTAAACATGCCTTGAAAACTGGTAGGTAGCTAAGTCTTGTCTTTCAGGAAACAATGTGGGGAAAAGAAAAAAATGGCTTACAGTATGTCACCAAGCTTACCTGAAGGACAATTTTCTTCTTGGTGGGTTCATCTTCCTCAGAATCTGACTAAGAGAAAAAGAAATGGAATAAGGCCTCGCTGTTTTAAGACAGTGGAGCATACTAAATGAATACATAAAAGATTAGACCACAAAGACCCTCTGACGGGGTGTCCGCTTCTGTACAGAGGCAGAGCCACCTACGCCCAGCCCAAAAGCACAGCTTCCCTGCTGATCTCAGTAACCTTCAGAGAATGGGGTGTCCTTCACTCCCTAGGTCACTCAGTCCCCAACCCCCCCACACTTGCTGCACAGCCTTCTTGGAGTCAATTTCTTTTTCTTTTTGGTACCAGGAATTGAACTCAGGGGCACTCAACTACTAAGCCACATCCCCAGACCTATTTTGTATTTTATTTAGAGACAGGATCTCACTGAGTTGCTTAGTGCCTCGCAGTTGCTGAGGCTGGATTTGAACTCACGATCCTCAGTCTCAGCCTCCTAAGCCGCTAGGATTACAGGCGTGCACCACTATGCCCGGCCTTGGCATCATTTTCTATTTTGTTAAATTGAGACCATTTCCTCCCATTGAGTCCGTGGTAGAAAGAACAAGCTATACCCATTCTACTTCCTATAAATCTGTCCACTAGAAGATGAATGAGATTTGGCCCACAATCTCACCCAATCTCAGCTTCACTTTTAAAACCACTTACATAGACTACATAACCACAGGGCCAGGGAAGTCCAGTGGGATTAAGTGGTGTGTTAACTACTCTTCTATGAGGCATTAAAGGTCAAAGCCATCGAAGAAATCCATTCCCTCTCCAAAGTATGATCTATTGTCTGCCAGACAGAGTTGTTCCTGTCCAGGAAGAAAGCAGGCAAATGATGACTGTTAAGATCTGGGGCAAGACTGGAGGTCATTTGTGTCATCCTTTGATTCAACAGGACTGTTTCTAAGACAAGCTGTCACACTGAAAAATATCTAAACTTTTATTAGCTCAATACCAATTCCTCAGCATCTTAAACTGAGGGAGGATGCAAGGCATATGAAGAGCAAACTCTTAACTTTTTTAACCACTCCCCAAACCAAAAATCTTAAAGCTTTCCATTTGTTCCTTAGTCAGTGTATCTGCAAATAAAGGTGATTAGTCAGGAATTTAAATGCCGTCCATCTCCAAGACACTATAAGACTTCAAATCCTTATTGGGCATGGGAGTGCACACCTGTAATCTCAGAGGCTCAGGCGGCTGAAGCAAGAGGATTGCAAATTCAAGGCCAAACTTGGCAACTCAGAAAGGTTCTACCTCAAAATAAAAAAGGCTGAGGATATAACTCAGAGGTAAAGCTCCTTGGGTTTGATCCCTACTGCTGAAAAAAGAAATAGTAATCCTGACTTTCGAATCTCCCAAGTTCCTTTTTGAATGCTTTTTGTGTGCTACAAGGATCTTTCAATCATAATTACTGAGAACCTCCTATCAAGACACTATGCCTAGGGCTGGGGTTGTGGCTCAGTGGCAGAGCACTTGCCTAGCACGTGTGAGGCACTGAGTTCGATTCTCAGCACTGCATACAAATAAATGAAATAAAGGTCCGTTGACAACTAAAGAAATTAAAAAAGAGACACTATGCTAAGTACTACAGCTTCTCTAGCTAGTGTCCCAGGCAGGGCTTGAGGCAGCTGGAACACTGGCCACTAGACAGTTCTCTCTCCAAAGATCCAACCTGGACCATTTATTACCCCAATGTGTAATTTTCCATGTGTCAGTAGCCTCTCCACCAAAGACTCAGAATGCAGCTGAACATGGTAACGCACACTTGTAATCCCAGTGGCTTGGAAGGCTGAGGCAGGAGGATCAAAAGTTTAAGGCCAGCCTCAGTAACTTAGTGATGCCCTAAGCAACTTAAGGAGACCGTGTCTCAAAATAAAAATGAAAAGGGCTCGGGATTGGATATGTGACTCAGTGGCTAAGCACCCCTGGTACCCAAAAATAAATAAATAAATAAAAAAAGACTTACAATCCAGTTAGAATGAGAAGTACAAAGAACTAAAGAACTGCAATAAAAAGTAGTAAGCTGGTACACTGGCACATGTCTATAATCCCGATGACTCAGAAGGCTGAGGCAGGAAGATCCCAAGTTCAAAGCCAGTTTGGATAACTTAGCTAGATCCTATTCTCAAAACTAAAAACTAAAAATAATGGGCTGTGTGAACACTGGGTTCGATCCTCAGCACCACATAAAAATAAAGAAATTATATCCAACTACAACTAAATATATATATATATACATATATATATATTAAAAATAAAAAATAAAATAAAAATGGTGTAGCACAATGGAGCCCCCCTGGGTTCAATACTCAGCACTGCAAAATAAATTTAAAAGATTAAAAAATTAAAGGCTGAGGACATAGCTCAGTTCGTAGACTGTTTGTCTCACAAGCCCAAGGCCCTGGGTTCAATCCCCAGCACCAAAAAAAAAAAAAAAAAAATTAAATTGAGAGGCCGGGTTGTGGCTCAGTGATAGAGCACTTGCCTAGCATGCATGAGGCACTGGGTTCGATCCCCGGCACCACATAAAAATAAACAAAATAAAGGTATTATATCCATCTACAAGTAAAAAAAAAAAAAATTTTAAATCAAATTGAAATTAAAAAATATTATTTTTAAAAATCAAGATGAAATTCCCCTCCCAAAAATCTGCTGTCCCTGCAACTATGCTTTTTTCCTGTCCGTCCTCCCCCTGGTCACACCCACCAGCTGCAGTCCTATGGCCACCACCTCTCTCCTTTCCATCTGAACTCTGTGTGCCCTCCTGACTCCCAGCTCCCAAGCAGTCTCTCTGGTGACCTCAGCTGCTCCCCTTCACTCAGTGTCTCCACCTCATTCACATTAACAACGTCACGTTACCTGGGGCTCAGGGCTGCCTGCTCTACACAGCGTATTCTCACCCTAACTCTAACGGCAAAGGGGATATATTACAGTTGAATATTGCAGCCCAGCAGTTGGGAGGCATGACTTTAATTACTAACTGCTGCCTGCTGCCAAATACATTAAAAAAAAAAAAAATGCTGGATGCGGTGAGGCACACCTGTAATCCCAGCAACTCCAAGAGGCTCAGGCAGGAGGATCACAAGTTCAAGGTCAGCTGGGGCAATTTAGCAAAACCCTGTCTCATGATAACAATTTTTCAAAGGAGCTAGGAATATAGCTCACTGGTAGAGCATCCCTAGGTTCAATTCACAATACTGTGGGGAAAAACAAGCAAACAAGGAAATCTGTCTGGGTACCTCAACGTGGAAAATAAAGACAGGGGCAGCCACAGCGTACCTGCTACATGTTGGGCAATTTACACACAATTTTTCACGTAATCCTCATAGTAACATTTCAAAATAGGCATTATGATCAGTTTTACAAAGAAGGAAAGTAAGATTCAGTTAAACACTGGCTAGGACAGGGCAGAACCAGGATCTGAGCCAACTCTGGCTCCTATGCTTCTGTGGTGACTCCACACTGAGCTCTGTACTGGTCTAGACCTGAGACCCACAAGGACAAGGTCATGTTAGATCCCACATGGTAGAGCTGGGACGCACATGACACAAAATCAGACATGGGTTTCGATCTCAGTTCTGCCTCTTATTGGCTTGAGAATCCAGCTATGTGATCTCCCAAGTCTCAGTTAAAACCACTACTTCAGCGTGTCAGGGTGATGCTCAAAACTGCCGAGCCTCAATGTTCTGATAGCGGCTGCGAACACACAATAAGGGGGCAGAGAACGGAAGTTCAAGGGATTAGACAAAGGGGAATGAAGGGAAGGGAGGGGGATGGAATCATCATATGCCACATATGTATAATACGTTGAAATACACTCTACTGTCATGTGTATATAAAAAGAATTTTTAAAAAAGTAAAAAGAAAAAAAGACTGCCTGAGCTACTGTCCTGACAATGTATACAAACTAAGATTCCTGGCACTTGTGGCTCGGTGGCAGAGCACTTGCCTAGCCTGCGTCAGGCACTGGGTTCCATCATCAGCACCACAGAAAATCTATTAAAAAAATAAAGGTATTGTGTTCATCTACAACTAATTTTTTTAATTAAAAAAAA